ATATATATATATATATATATATATATATATATATATAGATAGATTTACTTGATACAGACAGTGAAGAGAAAATGTTTTAAATAAGTTATGTAATAATGTGTGAAAAATATACCTCGTACAAAATAGAGATACTGAAATAAGTATTGGCCGATATTCTATATTAGAAGATCGTTCGTTAATCATCTGGGGATGTTAGAAATAGAAAATAAATCTGCATGAACGAATTTGACAAAATAATCTTTACCAAAATTGCCGTTAAAAAAACTGAGAAAGGAATCAGTACATTTAAATTTTATTTGAGCACAACAACACTATGCACATCCTGCAATCCGATTTCGTAGCCCAACCCCCCCAATTGTACACAATTCATTAGTACCTTGAAACTTTCAAAATTGTTTTGCATCATTTAGTAACAATGAAATGCGAACCTGTAGCATTATTTTATTTTGTTAATTTGTATTATTCATACAAGGTGTAAACATTTCTCCAATTATGATAAAATTGTTCACTTTCAGTGTCACTATGACGTCACTACGTCGCGGTAATCTTGACGGCCATGTTTGTTTGCAAAAAAAAAAAAGCGAGCATTTCTACTGTAAAAAGAACGTTGTACATATACAAATATTTCTTTACCATATCTTTAATTTTTTTAGTAAAGATATCAATACCGTATATGCCACATTATTTACATTTGTTTCGGGATGAAGCTTTGTTTTTTATGACTATTTATGAATTTTACAATAAAGTAATTTTATACTCATTGCATATATGAACTAGTTTTGTTTTTTATCTGTAATTTTAATTGGTCTATCACGTTCTCATGTTGACTTCGTGTTCTATTTCTTTTGGTTACGTGATGTTAGCGCTCACGCTCGTAGTCGTTCTAAATATACAGTAGGGGGTACCATATCTCACGTACGCCAAATATATACAACCTACCACCTGATATTTGTCAGTATAAGTCACGAAATAATTACAGTCGCAATGCAAGTATACTCGAAACTTAGAAAACAAACATGCAGTAAAATGTGATGCTGCCAGCAGTATAAAAATGCAGAATGAACAAAATAAAACCGACCAGCGGGAAAATGGTAAAATACTATACTATCTCTTGTAGTATTTTACTATTTTCCCGCTGGTCGGTTTTATTTTGTTCATTCTATACTTGTAACTTACTGCTGCTGTTGACATCGATGGTATAATAACCGTAAGAAGACAACTTGAATATAACTATACACGTAAGTACAAATTGGTGCGCACTACATTCGACCAATGACCTGGGTGGAATATCTACCTACGAATTCAGTTATATAACGATTATACAGCAATTATATACATATCCGTGAAATGCATACATTTACTAATATCTGCAACTGTTACACAAAACAGCAATATCCCCAGCTAAATGGCTTACTATGCCATCTGAATACCGTTACGCGATTAGGACAAATAACAATTGCTTTTCAATTTATTTCATTCAATCGTGTAAATTGCTTTACATTAAATGGCAAATGATCCAAACAAAATTTATGTACTGACACTGTCTGAAATACCAGGACACAGTCAATGGTGTGTCTGGTATGTGTCATAACGCTCATAGATGCGCGCATTTTGCCGGACAGTGCACCCTCGTAAGAGATGCTGAATTGTTCGAGTTACGGACACCGAGTTACGAACATCGAGTTACGAAAACATCGAGTTACGAACATCGAGTTACGGACATCGAGTTACGAACATCGAGTTACGAAAACATCGAGTTACGGACATCGAGTTACGAACATCGAGTTACGAACATCGAGTTACGAACATCGAGTTACGAAAACATAAGTTTCAAAAATGACCACGCCCATATTTGAGAAACCATGCCACTTTTGCGAAACCACGCCCAAATTGTAAATCGTGTTCGATTAACAGTTAACAGAACTTCGACTTACGGGTAACATATATTTTTGTTTTTTGTTGAACGTCCACATTTAGTAATTCGAACTTTAAATAACCGTTAACAAAACTTACGGGCAACATGGATTTTTGTTTTGTTTAATGATGTATATTTCTCGTAATTCGATGTTCGGTTAACTGATAATTTAAATTCGAGTTCCTAAATTTGAACGTTAAACAAAATAAAAAAACTATGTTGCCCGTAACTCGAAGTTCGGTTAACTGTTATGTAAAGTTCGAGTTAAAATTTGGGTGTGGTTTCGCAAAAGTGGGCGTGAAATATGGGCGTGCTCATTTTTGTAACTCGATGTTTTTGCAACTTTATGTTCGTAACTCGATAAATTCAGCATCTCCCCTCATAAAAATGGTTTTAGCTAACCAGTTCTCACCATGTAACGATCTCGAAAAGTGCATTGCAAACCAGTCAGCAACTTAGCCGCTAATGCTGCTGCTTTGGTGCTCGAAATAATATGACAGTGACAGTAATTCCAGAATCATATTATTTATCGATGTCTCTAATTGTACTTGGTTAAGAAATTAAGCCTGCGTTTTCACCTCACACTGTCACGCTCTTGTCCGACAATGTCAACGTGACGTATCCAAACTAAAGTTACTCTGGTCAAATAAGTTTCGAAAATATACTTCACTGTGAATTTAATATTAATATTAATTTTGTTCATGTTCGCTAACATTTATTTATTTCTAGTATAAATTGCCATTCCCTTGGCATACACTGTGTCATTCTAAGTTGAATAACACTACACTGGGAGCTATATAAAACATATTGTAGTGTTTATTATAGTTTCACCAATAGCCATGCATTTGTGAAGATGATAGAAGGAATAATCAGTTGCAGCTACGAGCTATACTGGTAAACTTTCACTTGTTATGCTCAAACCGCGATTTCCCTCGTTCGCACACCTAATACAGATTATTTTCTATATAGCGCCACCAGCGGTAGCGTTACCCCACGTCCTATGGGCAAGGTATGTGATAGTTAGTACGCTAGCTGAGTAGCATACTTGTAAACTATTTGTTGGTGAAAGAGGCAGATGATTTAGTGAAGCAGATAAGATAAACACTGATAAGAATGTGTTTAATGTTGGGTGCATGTTAACTGGCCCGGCCGTGGCAATTATATATACATATATTTTTTTAAATCTTGGTCCGACGCGAAACTGTTCTGAGGCATGTTCATTGTTATTAATTATTCATGATATGCAGTGGCGTTATTAAACCCTTCAAAAAGAGGAAAGTAGACGCGCATGCGCACTTGCGCAAAGGATTCTACGTGTCAGGTCATACGTGCGTAATAGTTGCGTACAACAGGTCAGATCAAAAACTGCCTTTCTTATCGGTTGGCCGCTTACCATTGACAACTATAGAGGGTGCGACAGAACAGACGCAAAAGATTTTTCAAACTCGTTCTGAAAAATTATCATATGCAACAATAAAATTGTCACGACTGGGTCAGTCAAGACGGATGTCTCATTCCCGCCCCGCCCGTGCATTCGAGGACGATGTTGACACAATGAACCACATCCAGTCACTGTCATCATGATAAGAAAACGAAGTCCTAACACGAGTGGCGCCTACCTACTTGTAACCAAGTGCTCACGAAGTTATGTTCGAGCAGAAGAACACCGACCACGGATGAATAAGAGAAAATATCACGTAAGTCTGTTTTACTATCCGATGAATTAGTGAGTCAACGAGTAGATTAACGTGAACAGCATTGTTCTATTACTAGGGTAATATGTTTAGCCATTTGCACGTGTACCTGTTTAATATAAGAATCCCGGAAGTGAACCTTGGACCCTCGTTTGCATATTTTAAATATACGAGCGGTGCAAACAAAATTTGTAACGCTCTACTTTGTTATTTACTGAGATCGCTGCTAGTACAATTTCCAACATTGAATATCACATTCGTCTTTTCGACTTCCCAATGTGCAAGGGTACATATTCGCAACATTAGTGTGTAGTTGTAACATAAACCACGTTCCACGTGCATACGTGACATGGCTGTGTCATTATCTTTATATCATAGTCGCATTATGAAAATGTGATATCGAAGCGTCAACCAGGTCCGGTCGAACATTAGCCATCTTGACCTGAATCAGCTTAACTAACTTGAAAGTTACCTACAGTCACATTTGAACTCAAGCGTTATATTGTGACTGACCCACTTGTACCAGTGTAAGGACAATCCCTATTCAGTTTAACACCGCCAAGGATTGAATCCCCATATTTAAAAGATCATTCTCGAATTCTGCACTTCTCTGAGAATACTATAATCCCAGCCGCTGGACCGTTCACCGACACGAAATAAAGTTTCATAAAATGTATCAAACCAGCAG